TACACCAGCTGCACATCGAAGCTTCCAATAACTGGTATTTCTGATCGGTCACCCATCTAGGAATTGACCGGGCTGGGCGTTGCTTAAACTGGTGTTTAAACGTGGTATGGCAGTGATAGAAATGTCATGGAATCCATATTAACATACCAAATGATAATATAATGTTATAAAGTATATGGAATATTGTGTTAATGAAAGATATGTGTGTCTTTTTATGTTTATTGAAAGCATTTATCATGATATAAAACTCATTTGATAACCTGACTCCTCCCGTAAAGTCAATTATTATCACTATATAAGCCGAACATCACACCATATATCGTTTATATAGATATAAATATATCTTATTTTATTGTTAGAACATAAATTCGCATATCGTGTAGATGACTTCGTCATTCATTATTGTGAATTAGCTCTTTGTTTCCGCTTACCGATAATGTGATGACTCTATTTGCGTTTGTATTTATTTGCAAGAGATTCATATCACCTTCCATTGTAACATTGCATGTTGGATAACAGAAACGTCAATGTAAACACAGAAAATTAGTTTTGGGGTTCTATGTAAATAATAATACCTGAAAACAATTCTAAAGTTAGTTATATTTTAGGTCGGCGTTGGGGAAGTAGATGCCTTTAATATTGAGATCGTATATTTGATTAGACAAATAATTATGTGTTAAGTTTGCTACATTTTACAGCTTTTTCAGACTACGAAACGCTTATCATGACAGAAACCGAGGAGTAATCTTGCCAAATCGACGGATTCCGCACAATATAAGAAATGCGAGGATGAAGATCATCAAATGTTGATTTATGGAAACATGATCAGAATATAGACTCACCTGTCTTCGGGCTGGATTCAGTGTGCTGTATATGTTTTTCAACCCTCTGCTGTTTCTGTCCTTGGACGGTCCATGAAAAAATCTTTGAGGCATATCTGGTCCCGAGGATAACGACCCTGGGGGCGCACCTTTCTCATTACACTAAAGAGGGATGGTTGACTTCCGGGTACTGGGCAATCAGTTTTTTCCTTAGTTTATATTCACGTGTATGACCCTAATTAAACATTAACCTTGTGCCACATCTTTCTACCATAGTGGGTGGGGGTAAATAGAATCAGTGTAATCTTCGCAGTTTTAGAGTCGGGACTGGTGTGTAGTATCTGTTCTCCCCCCTCTCTACCAGGTTTCTGTGTTCAGTTACTTCACGGGAAAAGATTGAGGGATCATTGAACAGCGGAGATTTCAACTCTTCGTCAACATCTCCTACGGAGGGAAGTTTAATGGATACCATCATGTTATGGTCCGGTTCCTTGTACCACGGTGATAGTCCAAGGTAGAACCAATAAAGAATAACTTGAACACGGATATGGAATAACACAGATATATTACAGGAAACAGGAATATATACAGAGATGTAGAAAAGTGTTTGTACGAACAATCAGGTTTAGTAGTAATTGTCTGAACGTGACTCTAATTCCGACTGCCTCTGACTCGACTGACTGACTCACTCGCTCTGACTGACTGACAGACTCCTAACGGACTTCACTCCAGACTTCAGACAGAACGGTATTTAGTCACCCCCACGAGGACATCATGTGGCACAAGGCCGGTTTAACGTGGGATCTCCGAGCCCGTGGGCTCGGCCAAAAATATGCCCTTTGAACCAGTATAAACGGGTTCAGGTGCGGTTTACCTCCCCAAAAGGGACTCCTCCCTTCGGCGTATCTTCGTTCGGGTTCCTCCCCGCCCGAAGGCAGAGAGTTCAACCGATCAGCTGGTCGCCCGACTTCGGACTGAACTCCCCGCTTCCTCTTAAGGCGCAGGATTTATTACGTATGGAATAGTCCATTATGTTATTATGGGTAAGGTCTCCTAACACATCATCGGCGTAAGATTTCTTGCAGGGATTGGGTAATATTTGTCCTTGGCTTGTATATGCTTGTTGACACTCTACAATAAATAGATCTTGTGTCAAGCGAGTAAATACAATCTGAATGAACGTTCTCTAGCCTTTGATTTGTGATCAGTGTGTTGCATTTCTATTCACCTCCCTCCTGTCAAAAAAATTAGTCCGCGCAGCAGACTGGTTGTTACAAACATCCAATCGGATGCGCGTAATATGTGGTCTTTCTTCCTCTTATTCTTTAAAAAGGCCAGAGTAGCTGTTAGCGTTTAATCAGAAGGGGGAATCAGGGGTTAATCTTCCCTGATTGGGTCAATTTGGTGATGGGGAGTATGATGTTGAAAGACCCGAAACTCCCTGATGAACCAAATAAAAACATCACTGACGACCCCCTTGCGCGCCTACTTAAAAGCGTATTTTCGAACGAATGTCATTGCTTTCGAGCAGTTCAAGAAATGCCTGCTTAATGCATTTCAACCCTTCAGCAGCACATTATTCATTGCACTAACGAGGAAGTCTTGAGGGATACCAACGCTGGCATGACAATGCACGCATGTCATCTTTTGCCTTTGGTTCCGACATTAAAGCCTCCTGTGTAACATCCTACCAATGTGGAAAGTTTGTAAAGCTTCGAAAATAGAATGAAAATGTAGTATATATTGTAGCTTCCTCTAAATGTGGTGAGTTATCTCTAGTACTCGGGGTTCCATCTTTGCTGCACCATCTTTGCTCAACGCACTACCATTGTGACATTGGGCAGATTTTGTCCTTGATTTGTATATCCGGCACCTCATTTTGTCGCTTCCTACAAAAAAGTGGGGTAATATGTAAATAAAACACAAATGACCCAGCCTTTTTTTTTACTGGAATCAAGGTGTATTATCTCTTCTTTACAGTCACGTATGGGAACGGATGGCTTATTCCATCAACAAGGAGTAGTTAGAAGATTGTGATAGTGATTGCAAGAACTGGTAAAGATATATTTTTTACTTCTTGGACGATTATTGTCCAATTTGATGAAGGCGAACAATCCCTTGTTATTTGAATATCAGTCAGTTATGTGCCATGCGTGATACACGCTTAGGTGATCATGCATCTTTCGATACATGACTGACGATGTAGATTTTTCCCGCAGTAGGTTGCCATTTTCTTCTGCGATAGACCAGATGACATCCAAGGCTATAGAACACGGTATGTCCTGCTATTTAATCATAGCTTGGGTATATATCCATAGTTTGGGGTGAGAGAAGAACAGGATTCATACCTTCCCCAAGGTTATTAGCACGTAAGTGAATGTAATGGATTCAACTGGAATTCGAATTCAGCTCTCCGATTTCTCAATTCGAGCTGTTATCCATTACACCACAGTAGTAGTAGAAGTAATAATAATAATAATAATAATAATAATAAGAAGAAGAAGAAGAAGAAGAAGAAGAAGAAGAAGAAGTGCTTACTTATAGATATGGCAGTCCCTGCAGACTGCAATGTATCTTGAAGATCTTCAAAAAGCTATCAAAATACAAAGACTTTGAAATCGAAATCTCAAACATGTGGCACATTGGAACATAAACATTTCTTAATGTAGTTGGAACCATCGGAATGGTTGGAAAAGATTCTAGTAGACTAATTGAAGGGATTCCTGGAAGTCCATACCTTGAAAAATACAAAACATTGTTCTCTCTAGTACAGCCCACTTTGTAAAATATATATAATTTTTTTTTAATTGGTCCGTGGAAAATGCCATGATGACATTTCTAACCTTAGGTCTCTGAGTGGTAACCGGAAAGAAATATGTAAACACCAAAAATCAAAGGAAATAAGATTAATAATAATAATAATAATAATATGATTAATTAGATTCATGTGTGTCTTCTCGTCGCACATATTTAAAGTGGAGCGATATTGAGAGGACGAGACGTCATAACATGATTGATTATTTGCAGTGACAGTAATAACAACATAATATCTAGCTGACACACTGTAAAGAGCAGTGAGAGAAATATAACAACAGGGAGACCAAAAGACATTATTTAGAGAAAGTATGAATGATGGAATAAACAGCAATTATAAAATGATATAATAAACATCTCTATCTATAAAAGGCAGAATGTGTGTGTGTGTGTGTGTGTGTGTGTGTGTGTGACGAATGCACGGCCGCAATTCTCGACGGATTTGCATAACATTTACATGCACATGCTCCAAGTTAGCGGGAAGGCCAAGACTGACTTTGCATTTTCCAACCCCCATCGATAGTGGAAATAATCGATTTTTTCATGCGTCTACAGCAGTTTTCATGTAGGTTGCGGCGATTTTCTACTTGCCAGAGTGAGAGCCTATAGCTGGCTGCCACGAATAGGCAGGAAGATTCCATTGGCCAGTGTGAGAGACAACAGCTGACTGACACGAATGTTAACTAGCATGCTAGCATGCAAAAAAATCGATAGCTGCATTCGTCACAAGTGGGAAAAATTTAAATCTGCATGCCACTTTACTCCAGTTGGTTCATTCGCTTGCTTAAACTCAACGTTGATTCTGATTCCACAGAACTGGGTTGGATGTGAAAAAGTATTTGTTGTTAACATTCTTTTTTTATTCGGTATTTCCAGTTACAAGTCCTTTTTTAATGCTGATCGTTTTGTGTTCATTTTGTTTAGTTCTTTTTTCGTAACAGATTTAATGTTTAGTATAGAGCTTGGAAAAAATTCGCAGTGTGAGTGTGAGATAGGCAAAACCCTTTAAAGGCAAGGAAGGCAAAAGTATTTAACAACATCAGTCGTACGATTTTTGAATCAAGCACGGGCCATGCTGCTAGACAATTGTAAAATGACATAATAAACACTAATTATAAAATGAGATAAGAAATATCAATTATAAAATGACTTAAGAAACATCAATTATAAAATGACATAATAAATATAAATTATAAAATGACATAATTCTTGTCCGTCAGAAGAAAAGAACATCAAAAAATGCAAACAATAATTTGAAGATACCAATTCCGAAACCAAAAATTTAGATATCTGTGAAGCACTTTTTTTTTTTCGTAAAAATCTACGAAATTACGTAGACACATTGGAATGACAAAAGACACGGCTTCCGGTCTTATCACGTAGAAACGCCGTTTCCCGTCCGATCATCGAAGTTAAGAAACGCCGAACCTGGTCAGTACCTAAATAGTTGAACGCCTGGGAATATCAGATGTTTGGATATGCAAGTGGTATAATGGTTAACGGTTAGGAATTGTTTATCAGAGGGCCGATTTCCAATTGCATTCGATTTCATTATATTCACCTACGGGCAAATCCTCCTAGGATACGTAGGAATCTGCCTATTCTCTTTCTAGCTATGAAAATAGTATGACTTGTATCAAGAGATCGTTATTGTCTCCCAAAGTTTCTTACAATTTAAAAATATTTTCTGGCTTTAAATAACATACAAAGATAGATAAGCCGTAAAAAATATAACTCAATTAACCAAAAGATGCATCCCAAAATCTAAGCAAAGTATTAAGGAACAAGAAAAATTGATTAGAAAAAGAAGAAATGTTATGCTAATATCAGCGAATAGTAGATAATTTCATCAACGAATTGAAGCAATGAAATGTGTTTCTACGGAAGGATGCTGAGGATACCATGGATGAAATATTTGACTGACTAGAAATCTTTAAGTAAATGGGCATAAAGGAGAAGCATTTACTGTAGAATCCGAAAGAAATAGCTGAAATTTCTTGACACATAATGAGGAAAAAGACGGTTTCGAAAATTTGACTCTCACAAGGCATAGTGACGGCATGATGGAACGAGGAAATTATCACGTAACCTACATAATCACTTTGTTTAAATCGGTGGACGAAAAATGATACAAGCAGGGATGATGAAAAGGTAACCCTTCGTAAGAGCAATAAAAAGAGAACATCGTGAAAGGCCATGATCACCAACGTCCTGGAGAGACAGGGTACATAACAAAATAGAAGATATGACTTAATTTCAAGTATGGTAGGCGTATCGGATCATATTGCTTTCCAGATGGCCTGTGCTCCACCCAGTAATGAACAATGAATTCCAGTTTCTAGATTAATTATGTTAATTCGGATTTGCCAAACAGAAGCCATAAAGTCTTTCCTTTAAGTTAAAACATGAATATTTCTGAAAGAAAGGAAAAATAGTACACTGAAGTTTGTAAGATGAACACAAACCTTGCATATGTCAAATACATTAGAGTATAATGCTATGATGGCTCTCATTTTTGCATAAACATTTACCAAAAGATCTAATTTATACAATCTATAACTGTACGAGGAAAATATTGTGTGTACCATTCTGTACTATCCGTACATTCAGCCAACGATAAAGCTTCTTGGAACATAACTGCAGTGGATAAAGAGAGTCTACTGTAAGAACAAACACACTCATTTTTATGGCTGTTTACACAATACAAGGACCGCTCAAGGTAGAATGTGACTGAATGAGTTTGTTGAAAGTAGATAATGGTTGTCCAGAGACTTGAAAAAGTTATGATAGTAATGACAGAAGAAGTATCCCCTCTCAATTCCCCTCAGAAATTTGTTTCACAAAGACGATATCCAAATAGAAGTTCCTCTTTACAAATGGAATATAAAGGGAATGTTAATGATTCGTATGGCGGATCTTAGCTTTTGTACTGTTTATATATTTATGAATTTTATATGGTCTTTAGCACAAAGATACAAATATGGGTCACGCGATGAAGGCATGAGTCAATATACAGTTTATCCTACACTGGCGTCCAAATATTTAAACAATTTTATTTTCGTTTCGCTTAAGTTTGTCAGTAATTATCAAGTTTTTGCTAAAGTTTACCAAACGTAAGGCTCGTAAGCCATTCAGTATAGAAGTTTTTGAATTAAGCACGTGATATGAATATAATAGTACGTGGTAGGAAGTGAAGATTATGAGGATAAGGAGGATATATACCGAATGTCCATTGGCTTGAAAATGTTACAATGGTAGTGTTCATGGAAGCACTCACAAGGGAGTCTGTTTGATGAAGTATCAGTTCTTGGGGGGAAAATGTTTTCTGAACAGAAATGTATCATTAAAAATGGAATTGAGAGGAAATGCAGGTTATTCAAATCCATGGAGATAGCATGGCTGTCAAAAATGTAGTTCATCTGAACATTTGATATGGAAAAAGTCATAGAGTAGCAATTGTTAAGAGATATGACTGCTACATTGCATCTGTAGGCAAATGACCGCAGGCTGAAATATATGCTCTACCTCGAGACCGTATAAATTATTTCGAAGTCTAGCAAAGCCGGAAAGTGTGGATTGAGAAGCCTCAGTCACGATATGGGAGAAATGTTTCACTTTTTCGCTTTATCTGACTCTTATCAAGTAAAGCATGTAAGAAGGAAACATTTACTTCCTAGTGAAAGAAAAGAAACCAACTATTTTGCATACGTATTTAAAAAGACATCGGGTATAGGAGTTCAACTTGAAGTTTGCAGTGAATATCCATATGGTTCTTGTGTTTAATCCATGATGGCGTCTTTTAGATTTCCTAAATATTTTCTAAGGCAAAAATCAGTTGCAAAAAGATTCCCTCAGCTTGGAGATGAGATAGCGTAATCAAGAAGAATGAGTCTATGGTTTCGTCGTCTCTTGCCTCTGTGTAAGTTGCTGATTCCTGGATGCTGTGTGACATGACTTTTCTTTTTAAAAAAATAAGCGGCCAAATGGATAATCGATCGAAGGCTTTGTCGATCAAAGGCTAGATGTTCCTCTTGAATGGGCATTTCTTTAAAAATCATTTCACCCCAGGTAAATCGATAATGCCACTAAGACAATAGGGATGTAAGAAGATGAAAAACCTTAAGAGAAAGAAACGAAAACCCAATCCTAAACAGGAAACAAGAGATAAACATCTACTTCTGTTCAAAAAACGGGGAAGGACTGTGAACTGAGCGATAGGCGTAGCTGTTTATTCCTATTAAAACTTGGGAATAATGTTTTCTTCTAATCAAAATTGTAAGTCCTCTGGAGTGTAGTCATTATTTTTTATCCAAGTCGGTGATTTCTTCTCAGTGTAAGAGAGGAGGGTGGCATTCTGCTGATTTTTATACTTTATTTTTTTTGGCCTACAACGATATTGAAGCCATTCGTCAATTCTGATCTTTTCAATTACGTAGAGAAAGAGATGAATACACATAAAAAGCTTTCCATAGATAGTTATATGATCATCGACATCCTTGTAGGAAGTTTCGAAATGAGAAATTACCCATTTGATATATTGATTTTTCTCGGACCTTGTATGAAGTTTTGAAATTAGAAATTACCCAATGATATATCGATTTTCTCGGATTTCCACCATCGGACAGCACAGTAAATTTAACCTAGCGGATACAAGCCTTGATAATTCTAATCTGGATGTTGAAAGTCTAATGTCCGTGTGATATACTGCAAAAAAAATATTTTGATTCGATGGCAAAGAAAAGCAAAATAATATATTGTAATTAACTAAGAATAATTGACTGATGGCAGAGTTCTTTAACTATAGTTAAAGGAAAGCAAGCAATCCTTCTTAGTTGGTTAAAATACACGAAGGTTTGTTACCGACAAAAGAGACATTAAGAAAACCAAAGGGTAAAAAGGTCTAAAAGGTGTAAAGATATCACCTAAGAAGAGGACATGTTTCCGAATAAACCAGTTCACTTACTTAAATATTATTCGACATCCGCTTGAGGATATTGTCATTGAATGAAATCGAAAATGGATAAATACCAATATTGGATAGTCTGCAATATATTCAAGAAAACAGAAATATTTCTCAAGGAATTATTAATTTTATTTCAGATCATTTTCGTCTGTGTCCATGGGTTATTTTCAAGTTTCTTCGATTTTATACAAATGCTGCTGGTGGTTAAAGAAAAACTGAGGAGGACGTATTTCGCTCGTTGAATTTTGCAAAATTTTGGGGTTATTATTATAGGAACTTGTTCATTCCAATTAATTCGACCGGCGTGTTGAACCAAAAGCGTGTCAAACTTTTTAAAGAATTGATTGTGTTACTTTTGCCTATAGGGAGTCAAAAGTTGATTACTTATCGAAAGGCTATTACAAAAACCGAAAACTTCCATATAATCGTTGTCTACAACAATTTTATATGGTTTCTCGGGTCAGTCACATTCAACGAATCTATCTATCTATCTATCTATCTATCTATCTATCTATCTATCTATCTATCTATCTATCTATCACTTTCTCTCTCTCTCTCTATATATATATATATATATATATATATATATATATATATGTCAGTGTTTTTCCTAGTTTTTTTCTTGCTTACAGCTATTTTTCTAGTTATCTATCTATCTTTCTTTCTATCGAAGTATATCTATCTATCGCAGTATTCTATCTATCTATCGCAGTATTTCTATTTATCTATCTATCTATCTATCTATCTATCGCAGTATTCTATCTATCTATCGCAGTATCTCTATTTATCTATCTATCTATCTATCTATCTATCGCAGTTTTTCTATTTTTCTAATAATCTACCTATCTATCTATCGCAGTATTCTATCTATCTATCTATCTATCTATCTATCTATCTATCTATCTATCTATCTATCTATCGCAGTATTTCTTTCTTTCTTTCTATCTATCTATCTATCTATCTATCTATCTATCTATCTCAGTATTTCTTTCTTTCTTATTTTCTATCTATCTATCTATCTATCTATCTATCTATCTATCTATCTATCTATCTATATCTATTCATATCTATCCCATTCTTTTCCTTCCTTTCAGTCAATCTATCTGTTTCATCATCCTATATATATATATATATATATATATATATATATATATATATATATATATATATATATATATATATATATATATATGTTTAATTCGAGTCGTTTCTTGGTATTTGTCACTCTATCATTTTATTCCGATCTATTTATGAAACTAATATGTAAATTACTTTACCTATCTCAATATGCACATATTTATATCTATATGTTGTTATATTTATGTTTACTGTCTTCCTTTCTTCTAAAATATATTTGCATTTAAACATCATTTTTATTTTCTTTCCTGTTCTCATTTAATCATTTATGTTCAGTAGTGTTTTGTTTATTTTAAATTCTATCTCATCTCAATCTGGCATAACTCATCCCTCATTCTTTCAATTTCTAATATATATATATATATATATATA